CCCGCAGATGGGATTCAGAGGAGGCCTAATCTGTGGGATCTAATCGGTCTAGTGGAGGTAATTGGCAGCAGGCCACACTGTTGTATCCTCACCATTTTTATAAGGACTGACTGCAAGAGATAAAGTTTTTAAGTTTCACGAGTGAGGCAAATTCTTCATATTATGCCATTTTTAACTATAAGTAATTTCAATGAGTTGTAAGAATATCATTAGAACATAAGTAAGAGAAATGAATGTTCTGGAGTATCTTATAATTTGACAATATTAAAAGAAAAATAAATGGCATTTTGAAAATTTAGGAACAGCCTTCAGATGTGAACTTAGCAAATGTGGATTGCCAAGCACAAGGGTAAAGGACTGGCAGGAAAAAAAATAAACTGTTTCCCTTAAAAGTTTCAAAATATTTTAAAATGATCAAACGATATTGTTTCCCTAAAGCTAATTGATTTATTTTAGAAAATATTTTTTGAAATTATCAAGGTACACTATATTGCCAAAAGTATTCACTCACCCATCCACATAATCAGAATCAGTTGTGAGCGAATACTTTTGGCAATATAGTGTATATGAAACTGTTCCATCTTGAAATATTTCAGTGTTCCCATTCCATTTTTTCCAAGCATATGAAATTTCAGTAAATCTGATTGGTTTGTTACGTTCCCAAAGTAGTTAGAATAATAGTTTTGCACATAACTAGTTATAGCGCAACCAATATTTTGAAGCTAATTGTTTCTGATATTAGAACATTGAAAACCCTGCAACCCTGACTTGGTTTTTCATAACTCTATAAGTTATTTTTAAAGCTTTTCTACTTCATAGAATTTACTCTTTACATTCTTGCAGTTGCTTTAGCCTATGGAATTTATAAACAGGATCTACCAGCCCCAGACGAGAGACCAAGGAATGTGGTTTTTGTAGACATGGGACATTCTGCCTACCAGATTTCTATTTGTGCTTTTAACAAAGGAAAATTGAAGGTAAATTGTTGAAGCAACATATAAATAAGAAAGATAAAACAGGATAAAAAAATAAGTTAAAACAGAAAATAAATAAATTCCATCTTACTCAGAATTGCCTATATACTCAGATGCTACCTTAATAGCTCTTAGGTCCTTGGTTAGGACTTGAACTATTAAGTTTTATCAGTCTCAGACTGTCAATTGAATTGAAGATTAAATCTTAAATAATAATAGTTATAATAATAAGGATAAGGATGTAATGCCAGCAGATTTATACAGTGGATTATTCTTGCACTGACACTGCATTAGACTTCTATTTGCATTATCTAACCACAAGTCTTTTTCTTTCTTGCTTGCTTTTATGTTCCTTATTATTGTGCTTAATTTCATAGGTACTTGCTACTACATTTGATCCCTTTTTGGGTGGTAGAAACTTTGATGATGCTTTGGTAGATTATTTCTGTGAAGAGTTCAGGATGAAATATAAACTTAATGTTAAGGACAATGGTCGAGCATTGCTGCGATTATACCAGGAATGTGAAAAACTGAAGAAGCTGATGAGTGCAAATACTTCTGATCTTCCAGTAAACATAGAATGCTTTATGAATGACGTTGATGTCTCTAGCAAAATGAACAGGTACCATATTCATTGTATAAAGTGGGAATTATGAGATAACCATTTTTATGCCTGAAATATTTAATATTCTTTTCTCAAAATAGGGCTCAGTTTGAACAATTGTGTGCATCTCTTCTGGCCAGAGTAGAACCTCCTTTGAGAGCAGTGATGGAACAAGCTAGTAAGTAAATGCTGCAACAGCTTATTTTGAATGCTTATATTTAATATACAGGCTTCTGCTTGCTACTGTAGATCATGCCTATCACATTGAATATTCTTTAATTTTTTAATGTCTATGGACATTGAAAAAATAATATTTTGGCATTGGTGTTCTTACAAAGTTAGGTATGTGTGATTCTATCAGGTACAGAAAAGATGCTAAAAAGAAGGGAGGAGCCGAAGTCGCGACGACACGACGTGCAATCTCAATGCTCTGAGATCGCAGTCGACACTTTTGTCTCTGGGTGGTCCAAATGGACCTAAACCATCCCGTAGAGATTGTGAACAGGAAGAATACATCTTACTGATCACAGGGACATCCCAAAGTCTCTGATTGATCCAAGAGAAGCTCTTCAAGCCGGTGACAAAAAATCCAGCCAAATGGCTGATGAGGTCAGGTCGACT